TTGGATCCCAAAAATATAGATCAAAGGTTATAAATAAATTGCTAATTTTTTTCTTAAAATCTAAAATAATGAGATAAAATAGTTAAAAATTCAAATACATTTTTTTTTCTTGTACTAAAAAAAATGTATTTGAATTTTTAACTATTTTATCTCATTATTTTAGATTTTAAGAAAAAAATTAGCAATTTATTTATAACCTTTGATCTATGTTTAATAATTTTGGGATCCAAAGGCTAAAATTTTACAGCAGCACAGCAGCCCCGAACCCAAACCAGAACTTGTACAAACACATTTTGTTTTACATTGCCAACGAAATAATAAATAAAATAAATAGAAAAGAAATTCAAATCAGCCAAAAACAAAAAACTCGTACAAAACAGAATGGGGTATTATGTACACTACTTTATCAGAACTCAACAAACAGTCTCCATTAACGTCAAACAGTCTCCATTAACGTCACCCTTTAAAGATGCTTTCGAGAGAAAAAATACCATTCATGGCTGCCGCCTCCGGCCCTTCAGCAGGCGCCGCCACCCGCCCTGCCGTTGCCGTCATTGCCTCAGCGAGGGTGAAGGCCGCAAGCATCTTCACCGCCGCCACCCCTGTCGCTGTCGCCGTCCGGCGATCTCCTGCCGCAGACGCTGCCAAAAAGCGTTCTGCTTCCAACAAGGGAGAAGAGAAGATGGTAACTATTGTTTAATTACTATTTACTTTAATGGGTAGTTCGGTCAGCCCAAATTTTGGGCCCAAAAAATTTTCCTTTAAAGAAATTAGCAACCAGCCCAAAATTTGTTCAATTTTTTAGTTACTTGTTCTATCGTTCTCGCTCATCATCTTGTTTTATCAAATAACGCGATTTTTTTTTTCGATTCTGTTCGATCTAGTTGTAATCGGCTTTGATCTGTATATTGCAGATCTCTTCCGATTACTTATCGATCTATTATTATTATTTCCAAACTCGGAGATTCTAGCCAAGACCCAACTCGGAAACAAACCCAGACGCTGCTTTCTTGAACCGAGCTCCTTTATTCTATGTTATTTTTCCAGTCGTAGTTTAGCTCCTAATATGGATCTGGAATAGCTCATATTTCTATTAGATTAGCAGATTCCCAAACCAACCCCATTATATTATGCTTTCAACCCCATTATGTTCGTTTGTAATGCTTGTTATTTTTGAATTATATCCCTGAAATTGTGTGCTTTCTCTGTTCCAATTTGTATGGATAAATTTTTTTATTTCAATAAATCATATGCTTGTTTGATGAATTTAACCTTTTCTTTTGTCTATGCAGATGAGAGAGATGATTTATCAAAAGTTGATTCAGATATATTCAAATCAATGATTGAAGAAGTTGACAGCTTGCATCAGTTTGATATTATTTGCATGCTCTTCTTTTCATTGGTGTTACTACTTACTTGTCTCTACTGCTCTTTTTAAATGGGTTACTCTGTTATGTATAAGATTTTTTTAGTGATCCATATGTAAGGAGTGTTTGCATAATATGCTGGGCCACTAACAACAAAAGAATTATCCAAATTTTCAAATGGTCGAACCGTACAAACTGTCGTCAAATTTCGTAGTTTCTTATTTTGAACTATGAATACTAGATGAAGATCATACCATTATGGGGGATATTACAATGATTTTTTTTCTTTCTTTTAATTTTTGACTACTCTATAAACTTGTAAAAAAGATAATATGATCCCTCACGCATTACTTTTTCTTTGTTTCATTCAGTACAAAATCCCAGTGAACAAGTAGCAGATGCTGAAGCTCTGTTCGATATTACCAACACACTGGTGACTTCTGTTAAAGCATTTAACAATGAAGGCTTGACTCCTTCAGATTTTGTTAGCTGTCTTCTGAGGGATTTCGGGCAAGATGGTGGACCAAGCAGTAGCCAGCATGAGGGTAGGAGTTTGATATGCTGGAAAGACATTGGACAAGTAGTCTCTCATGTTTTCGCGAGTGCTCCTGGTTGTTGCACGATGTAATAAATACATGATTTCTCATTTTTTGTTTCTTTTTCTTGAATTAACATTTTTTATATAAAATTTCTCTCTCTCTCTCTCTCTCTCTCTCTCTCTCTCTCTGTCTCTCTCTCTCTCTCGTTTTACAGGATTGGACCCATGAACACTGAGCTGAAACAGCGTAAGGTTGCAGTTCATAGAAAGCGTACAAGACCGACTGAAAATGAACGTCCTGAAGAGGTGCATTCTTTCTGCCTATTATTGGTGGATATTGTTAATTTAATATTTTTGCTGCATTATTTTGCAGAGGGCAAATAATAAAAAAATCATACACAAAATTTACGCATTTATTATTTGGAAATGGTTTGTTGCTTGTGTAGAAAACATCCTCCTGGCCCCAATGAGTCATT